GGATTCTATGATTCTGTGATTCTATTCAACTCTGGAGATAAAAAAAACTATCAGTTTTGCATAGGCTGAGCAAGCCTACCAGCTTAAATCCCTGAAGTTGCCATCCTGCAAGCCTCAGGTTTTTCCTCCACTTCATCCTAACCAGCTCACCTCCTGTCATCAACCGGAGGAAGCTGTTGCCAAGAACTGAGGAGCTCAGAATGATCTTCTCTAGCCTGGCTGCTGTGGGCTATTCCCCATGAACAGTGAGTCCCTTATACTCTCAGACACTTCTGCAAGAACTGAGGCAACATGGTTCAAGTTTTAAATGCAGTAAAGCACAGAAAAAGGTGGAAAGGAAAGAAGACAGGGACAATGAATGTCTTGTGACAGCCATTGTGAATTTGGTTGACAATGGCTGCAGAGTGAAGTGGTGCTGAGAATCCAACAGCACAATATACCCGTTTGGGGTTTGATTCTGTATTGGTGTGAGCCTGATCCCATTTACTGTCCGTACGTCAGCGGTTGGAATATATGAGTTGTGCTCCTTTAGCACATCTTTTGGCTTAGTTCTCATCTGAAAGGAGTGTAGTTCATGTCACCTGAGACCTGTCTTTGAGGTAAACAAAAGCATAAAGCATAGCAAGTGTATGTGGCCAAGTGAGAGATTCACTACAAATCGCACTCCTAATTAAAACTAAGACATTAACGCAGATAAACACAAAGGAGAAAGGATCTTATGTTTCATTACACAAGGGTGTTAACTGGAAGCTGATGAGTGAAATACAGTGTTTTAAGAAGGCAGACAAAAATCAGAAAGAAGGTGTCATGAACGAGCCTTAAGACTACTGAGGGAAACATGGAGAAGCAAGGAGGAATTACAAGGACTGTGGCTGGATGAGATAGCTGAGAAGGTGATGGAGACAGACTAGAAATGAAGCCAACAGAAAGGAAACCAGGTTTGGCTGGACAAGAGAAGAACAAAAATATAGAGCATGGACAAAGAGTGAGAGAGGAGAGGAAAACAAGCTGGATAAAGAAATTTGGTACAGGGATAAAAAGTAAATCCAGATGGTGATTTAGAGTCAGGTAGTGGGCTCAGGGGAAACTCCTGTAATTGAGACCACCTGAGAGGTGGAGTTGGACTTTGCAGTGAATATAAAAGGCTTGGGACAAATAGCCGTGTGTGGAAAAGAATCAGGACTGGAAAACTGGGGACTGAAGAAAGAGATGGGAAAAGATTCCAAGCTTTTATTCAACAAGCAGAAGACCCTACTGCAACAAATACTTTCAGACTATGGGATAGAATCCAAGGTTTCTGGATCGTATCAGAAAATATCTGACAAAATCACTGGAAAACTACCAGTTTCTTTCCCTTTTAACACTGATTCAGACAAAGACATATAGTCTATAGTCCTACCAGTCAGTTATACATGTGGCCATCCATGCCATCTTAAAAATAAATAACTTTTATTCACCACATTTACAGCAAACCTAGCAGCAATTGCTAAGAGTATGAATATTTAATTCATTCTACAAGTTATATTCATTGCACTTTAAAGAAAAAAACACTTAAAAGTATATAATTTCTAAGTTCAAGAAGACTGAAGAAATTTCAACACACAAAAAAAGGTTAGGATTTTTTCTTCTTCTGTAATAGGCTCACTATGTTTTAAAGTTTATGATTTCTGCCTCTGCTGGAAATCACCTTCTTTTATTATTAGGCCTAAAGCCAGGATATCCACTCTGCTATTGAACTGTGTTTTCATCTTCCACAGCTTTTGTTGCTCTTCTAACTTTCATTTTCAGTAATTATCATGTTAGCTTCCGTGAGTTGCTTAATAGTTACTTTATTAAGCTTTCCAAGTTATTTAATTTTTGCCTCCAGCATCCAATTTTATTGCCAAAGATTGGAGCTGAATGTCAATAAGTCTCAGTTTTATCACAGAAGGTTTACAATGTCACTGTGAAATACTCATCAGAAGCCTGATTGCAAGTTTGTAATACCCCATTGATGACAAAAAATGTTGCTAAAAATTGAATGGACTTTTGAGGGAAGCGATTCATCACTTTATTCAAGGAAGCTGCGAGATTTCTAAATATTGTTTGGCAAATAGCAAGACCATCTCTTTCAGATAAACAGAAGGTGAAAAGGGTTCTGCATAGATTCTATAACTTCAGGAAACATGCCTCTGAGATAACAAAACCTCACTGCTGTGTTTCAAATCTCGCAGTTAAAATTTCACCCTTTTTATTCTAGAATAGTCTTTTACTTCTGCCAGCTGGCATGCAGGTGGTATGCTAACTTCTCATATTCCATCACAAAAAAAATGGAGAAGAATTAACAATTCTGGTCATCATTGCACCACCTGGCTCAGCAAATTACCCTGGGACCTCCAGTTCCTCTCCCTTTCAAACTTCGGATGCAGAAGGCTTTCAGAGCAACACAGTAGAGGTGGACTAACTGGATGGGCAAATTAAACCCTTCAAAGTAAGTCTGTAATACAACTTTGAGTGCCACACGTTCTCTTCATGGATGCTTTGTAACCCAAAAGTTTGTTTCCTTTAACTTTTTTGTTATTAAGTTATGTTCAAAATTATCAAAATCACACATCCAAAAGATAATTTCTTTCAACTCCACTTTCACTCTGTATTCTAAAGTGAAAATGAAAGAATACACTGCTTACCTCTTTTTCAAAATCAGAAGGAAGAAGCTTGACAAAGTTATCTGGAAACACACCTCGTCTGCCATTGAGTTCTCCTTCCCACCAACCCACATCAATGCAATCCTACAAAACAGTAAAATAAAATGAAACCACAATGTGCTGGCGTGCTGAACACACTGTGTGCTGGAGTGCTCTTTTGCATAATGTCTTCCTTTTTTGCCAGAACGTGCCAATTTACTGGAGTGCCAGGTTAACAGGGTAATCTGCCAGATAAAAACTTCAGTTATCATCCTGCAATGAATTATCACATAGAGCAGCTAGGAAAGAACAATAAAACATGCTATAAGAGCTCAAAAGCTTTTCTGCGTCTAAAGCAAACACTATTCCACCATTTGATCTGTTAAACCAGTAAGCATTTTGAGCATGCATGATACCATCCTTCTCTGACTTCACTTTACAGAAACACAGTAACCTAATTAAACATCATATATCCCACAAGGTAAGAAAGCTCCTTTATTTCCCATACTTTCAAGAAAAGCTTATTAGAATGATGAAATTTTATCACAGCCCAATTAAGATAGCATTACACACTTGATCAATATCAAGCATCACCTTTTTCTGCAGGATTTTTGAGCAGCACAATGCAGAGTGTGTAGCAAAACAATGTGCAGCTAAAGCTTGCAATAGGTGAACTACTTTATCAGTGAGTCTAAATGATGAAAAAAATAGTTGAGCTATGTTGGTAATGAATAATAATAGTAACAGAAGCCACAACTGTTTTAGAGAAGGATACAACTGTCTCTTAAGTCCTGGATGGTTTGCTTATTTTTGTTTGCTAAAGAGAACACTTCCCATTGAAATTTTCCACATTCTTCTCCAAAAGCTGCAGCTGAACCAACTTTTTCCAAAATACAGTTATGGGAAAGTCGCCCATTGTCTGCTTAATCTTCAAAAGCTTTCAGCCAGTTTTAGCACTTGGCTCAGCACCAGGCTGGCCAATCTTTCTACCCTCTTGAGCAGTAGACCTAAATCTTCAGGTTGCTCAGAGCTATGCAATAAATATTGCACACCTGAGACATGAGGGAAAGGGAGACCCTAAAAATAGTGTATGGCTTGGACATGACAAGTACTCACCAGGAATCCCCCCCATTCTATGACAGTCAGGGCTAAATGTAGTCAGGTTTACAGCTTCAATCCAACAACATCTGGCATCATCAGCCTTAAGCAATCACTGCTTACAAAGCTACAGAGCTGAACTGACCAAACCACCTGCACCTGACAGGTATATCCAGCTGACCTGGTAGCAGAGCCACACTGGAACTGCTCCAGAATTCAACATGCTGGATGTTCCTGTTCCTATTCCAACATTTCTAATCCAACACCATGGAAAGTTTCCCCAATTTAATTAAGTACTTTTTCTTTAAAAAAAAAAACAAAAAACAAAAAAACCCAAACAACACATTTCATCACTGTTCAGAAAAGATCTGTTGAAATTTAGCAGCTGTGTTCTCTGAATACTCAGTGGTAGTGATGCATGTCTAACAGCTCTAGCTTGGGGCATGATCACTGTTCCAGGTCATCCTGCAGTGAGGATTCTCTGTCACTCACTGCTGTAGAAACTGAGTGATTCTTTCCCTGCAAAGACTTCATCTAGTCTGTGGAAAAAGGCATGATAATGTATAAAGCTGGCTCATTACAATCCCCCATCTCTTCTTGCTTTTCAGTAAAGTGACAAAGAGTGAGAAAGCTGTGTGTCTGGAACACCAGAATATAGAGACAAGAAGGAGCAGAGGGGTATGGATATAATAAAAGTAGGAAAGACTAAACAGGTAGTTTAGAAAAGAGGGAGAGGCAACAAAACGCATTAATAGGCTTCCACATAAAACACAGCTAGAAAAATTGTACAGAAGCAAATAAAATACGCCAAATACTACAAGCCTCGTATATGCTATGAGGCAACATCTCTCCAGAAACAGTACTGGATCAAGGGGTCCAGAATCTTAACATTCTTGTGAGAAAATAGCTTTAAAAATACCAAGTGGAACTGCATGTCTTAACAGTTTACCTACGCAATTTGGATGTGAAGGCACACTTGTGGAGTACATGCAAAAGCTCTAGAGTTAAAAATGTCACAGGCTCAAACGAGTCACTGTTGTAGCTGTGTGTATAGGGGAAAAATGTTATTCATTAAAAGACAGATCTGTCGGGTTTGGTTTTGTTTTTCAAGATGAGTGTCCAGAATGAGCAAAGTCTTTAAAATACAGCCACTCTGATCTTCATTCCATCATCTGCCTAGTAACAATCTCAGTATGTTCTCACAATTTAGAAAAGTTTTGAAGACGAATGCTTACAAAGCATCTGCACACTAGAGCAGTACAGAGAGGAAAAAGTAAGAAAAAAACGAGGATTTCTTTGTCTAGAAATAAACAGTAGTTTAAATAAGGGAGAAGATCCACTGAAAAAAAATTGTGATGTAAATGGGCAATAAAGGATTGCATGATGATACATGCATGCAAAATAGCCTTATTGTTACATTTCCATGAAATCGTTTGCTTCAGCTGCTACAGGCATGACAGAGTAATGCAAATTAACTTAATGAGGTGTACTAATACAAAGAGATGTCTTAAAAATATTGTTCACAATGGCTGTGCTTGTTGGTATTATTCTGTAAGTTATAAAACATAAACATTGGAAGATACTTGAGAGAAAGCAGACTAGCTTTAAGGAAGATCATTGCTTTTATGTTTTGGTGGGATTTTTAGTTATTTTCCTGTTCTAGTCTTTTTATTCAGTTTATTTGGTCCACCTCATCTTCTGAGACAGAGTATGTGCTACCTAAATATGAAAGCTAATAGCCTGGTTTTTTTCTGCATCATATCTGTTTTGCTTATTTTTTTTTCACCTCATATCTCAGTATTTCACTCCAATGTAATCTGTTCCCAATCCACAAATGCAGACACTGAACAATCCTTTCATTCTTCTTCTGGTCATTTTCTCTCACACTCAGCCTGTGTTTTCCTCCCGCATTCTCCCTTCTCTTCAGCAGGGTGGCCTTCCCCAAGGACACTTACCTTTCTCGACCTTCCTGGGAGTTATTTAGGAAGTATTTACAGGTTCTGTTAGACTGTCAGGCCTCTGTTAGTAAACAGGGCTGATTCCTGACTAGCTCATGTTTTCAAAATATCCACTGAGTGAATGAGGGCTCAATGAAGGACCAAGATAATCAGGTGGTCATGCACAGCACGGGCAGGCACTGTGCAGGATTCTGGTCTTAGGGCAGAGGCAGCACCCCCATTCCTGATGTGAAGGTGCCTTCTCACTTGGCTCTGTCTATTTGTGCAGACAGTAATCAGTGCACTCAACTGTTCTATCACATGGTGTGTTTTATAATGCCCTCCACCCCCTACGCTGCTAATCTGAAATTGCCAAAACACTTATGACCCAATTTAGATTTTGAGAAATATTAAGAATAATTCAAGTGTCCAGAGATGGAAAGCTGCTGCTTCAACTGATAGTACAGCTTAGTGCTAGCTAATAATTCTAAATCTTTGTTGACTAAACAACACACAACATCACATATATTCTTTTTAGGTTGGCTATTTTTAAGCTCTTAGGAAACACAAATCTTACTCCTACTTCTCCATTTTATTAACACACATGAATTTTGTATTCAGAGATTACTTCAAAGCTTATTTATTTTCATGAAGATGCTGTTACTGTACACGTTCATTAATACCAAACAGCTGCAAGTTTGCTTTTTTCTCCTCTCCAGCTCATCTCACAGGCTTATGCAGCCAATCACAACGATGGATTTTCATACAGTAAGTAAACCTTTAGGCAGTTCTCTTTAATTTTCTCATTTACTTTATTTGCCAGAGGAGGCTTCTGTGTCACTGAGCAAAAGGATGTCATGTGTTCAAAGTCAGAAAAATAGCTGTAATGTCAAAATGCAGATTTTATAAAAAAGTTGTCAAGCTCTTGCAATTCAGTTATCAATAGTCCAAAATTTATTAACAAACCAAATGCAACTCTGCTTTATCTCCATGTTATCCTGTGAGACTCATAATGCAAACAGACAAAAATCAGATGCTGTAATATCACAGAAGTTCTACAAAATGTACCCCAATTACTAAAAATGCATATTAGTTTAATTTAAGGGAAGGGAAAAAAAAAAAAAAAGTTTACAAAACTGAAAATCAGGACATGCCAAAAAAGCAGAAATTGTTGTCTGACAGATACTAGAGTCCATGCAAAATAGGTTGTAGCTGGGCCAACATTTAACTGCTGTAAAAATCAGCTCCTACCAAAGCTTAACTCAGAGACTCTACTCAGGTACTCACTGCAGTGACGGTGCAGTGAAATACTTTTAAGAACTCCATGGCTGTTTCACATTGTCAAACCTGTTCAAGCACAGGCAGATTCACGAAATAAAGAAAAAAATCTACAGGGAAATGTTACCATTTTCTCATTGAAACACAAATCTTGGGTTTATCCTCATTTCCAGTGAAGTAGTTTTGTTGTAGATTTCTTGTCTGATGAATTTAATTCAAATTACTTTTTAGAGAATGCAGTAAAGGGAGGAAGGAGAAGCAAAATGAAAGAAGGGCTGAAAAGCTCTTCTATGGCAGAATCAACATTCATTCCAGTTCCAAGCTGAGCAGATTCCAAATCAGGCATACAAAATTCAATGCATTGGATTTATTAAGAACATCCATTTTATGATAAGTACCAGGGTAAAGAAGTGGACAAAACATAGTCATGAGAAGACAGAAATGTTCATATAATTTTGAAGACAAATTTTAAAACTTTGCTAGAAATAAATATTACACAAAACATAAGGTACTAAAATGCCATCCTGAGCTTGAATTCTTATGTAAGTCAGAAAATGTTGTAAGAGATCTGCTAGATCTCTAAAATGCTGTAAGATCTGCTAGAGAGCAGCTCTGTGGAGAGGGACCTTGGAGTCCTGGTGGACAACAAGTTGTCCATGAGACAGCAGTGTGCCCTGGTGGCCAGGAAGGCCAATGGTATCCTGGGGTGCATTAAGAAGAGTGTGTCCAGCAGAACAAGGGAGGGCCCCCTGCCTCTCTACTCTGCCCTGGTGAGACCTCACCTGGAGTATT